CCCCATATAAGGGAATCCAGATTCCGGAATCTGGGAATTTTATCTGGAGGAATCCGGAATCCTGGGTCTTGAAATCCGAAACACAACTCAGGGAATCCGGAATTTCACTAACGATTGGAATTCGGCTGATCCAAGTTCCAATGACAAAGAGTCCGGGATCCAGTATCTGGAATCCCGCAATTCACGGTGTAGAATCCAGAAATCAAGACTTTCTTGGATTCTCTTACATGGGGCGATCCAGCTGAAAGGCCTTTTCACAAGCTATAAATAAGATAAAGCAAGGAGACGTGCGGTAATAGCCGAGGTTAATTACGACTGCGACACAGGCTACGCGTTAACTGAAGAGTTTGGTTCGCCTAAAATGACTGATAAGAATTTCATTCCAAAAGAACTTCATGTTAAGTAACGGCACTTGCCGCAAAAGAAGTTACTGATATGAAGAAACTGAGGCGCCCGAGACAATCGGTTTTTTTCAGGCGGGCTATGCAGCCTCAACTTTGTTCGTACAGTTGCCTGAATGACTTGTCAGTTTATTCACTGTTGTTTTTAGACAATAATCTTTATCTAATTGGGGTGGGGGGGACGCCCTACAAAACTTTATAAATAGGTTAAAAGATCTTTGCTTGCAAAGTTGATGCTTTTCAATTAATTATACCGGTAAAAGCTAGAAAGCAAGGGCAGACATGAAGGGTCTGGAGAGAGGAAAAGGGAGATCGTGGAGCATGTTTACAGCTGGCTTGTTCCTGACGTTCAGATAGTAGAACGTGGGCGAAAAACTGATGAGGAAAAAAAAAGAGGGGAAACTAGAGAGGGGAAAGGGGAGGGAACCCTTGAAGGTTCCTTCTCCCTTCTCCCAGTCTCCCCTCGTTTTCCCCCTCGTTTTTTACTCGTCCAACACCATCTGAACACCGCACTCTATCTATATACTATCTGAACGCCTTAAACAGGCTAGGTTACAGCTCTCGTTCACAGCTGGCTCTAAGAAAAATGGTTTAGACCACCTCAAGGCGAAAGAAGACCAACAAAAGACCGGATGAGACAGTCATCCTTAGATCACGAGATATGGGATATATTGTCACGATCTTTTTAAAAATATAAAAAAAAATCTTTTGTGGCTGCCCCTGAGGCCAAAGGAAACAAATGTCAAAACATGAAAGAGCAGCTATCAACTGCACGTGATCGGAAGGAGGTTCCGATCCGGTAGTCAGCCAGGCACCGTTGATTGTATAAAAATATTTACAATGAGTATCATATGCGTCTGTGGTAACCAATGCATATCACTTTGTAGTCGAAGTATGAATCATTGTCTCTGGGAATCATAACGTTATTATTCACTCGTTATTACGTTACTTCGCTGTATTGCTGGCTGTGTCTGGAGAATAAATCGTCCCTCCCAGCTTACTTCATTTTCCACGATCAACTAAAGCTTGTCAGAATTCCAACAGACTGATACGTCCTCTATTTATTATTGGCCTACTTTATGGGAGTTTTTTTAGAGAAAACAGCGCCTTGATTTAATCCGCGGACGTGACTTGGTAAAAAATAACAAGACTTCAAGACTTCACACGCCAGCTGGCCCATGGACTAGCAAGACGTATTCATCAAGGTAAGCCGACTTAGCTGATAATCCGGAAGATGACTGTTTACGGTGGAACGGACCGTGCCGCGATTTTTCTTTCTGAGTGAACGACCGCGTACTGTTTAGGTGCGACCAAAATGACTTGAATAACGCACTTGAAGCAAAACAGGTTAGAGGCTACAGAGCTCATAGAGGCGGCGAGAACGCGGGGATTTGAACCGGGCCACATTGCGAGTGCTCTCACCACCGCGCCACCCTTGTACTAGCGCTTTATATTTAGCGCGAAGTAAATAATAATTTGTCATGAGGTCTCTAACACATGAAAATTAGAGGCTCTTAATTTACATGCTCTTCTCCACAAGCTTCAATACAGTTTACATCATGCACCGTTCTCATGTAAAAATTATAACGATAATAATAAGAGCTAAAATAATGATCCAAATTGCTCAGTTTCAATGACCAAACTACTCATCTGGTGACATGCGGGCCGTTTGTTTTATGGCTAGTCGAAGCAAATGACAGTAAAAGGCGCATTTCAACTCATTTCCACCTACTTATTCAAATTTTAGAATGATCCTATCACAGAAGGTTTATCATTTTAATCTCCGAAGCTTTTAGAGTCAAGTGCTGAGTCCATTAATTGT